TCGCACAGCCCTATGAGACTTGAATGTGACTTGAAAAATGAATGTGTCTGATTCATAGTGGGTGGGGAGGTCATTTCTGTTTTGGATTACCGTGTGACTCGCAGGTTTAGCGCTCAATGATCAGACAAAGGAAGCAGCACAACCTTTATAGAGAGAAGAAGAGAGCAGACAGACCACCACCACCCCCTCCGTTCTCCTCTGGAATGCCTCGCTCCTCTTATGGAGGGGAAATCTCTCCCTTTACTGTCTCCATTGCTGACTGAGACCCAGTTTATAAGTGAACCGGCCAGCCCCTTGAGCAGTCTTAATTCAGTCATGTGTTTGAAGAGGTGGCTTTGAGCTGTGCTGGGATCAGCCAGATGAAGAACGGCTCAGGGAGGGAATGCTGTGTGGAATGTCACTAATCAATTCAGCATTGTAATTGTAATGGGCTCCTCGCCGCTGCCTCCATTCGACTGCCTCTCTTTGCCTCAGAGTGCTTATCTTGATAATTTGATTTTGCGCAGTGATCTGTTCAGTGTAACATGCAAACATAATTAGGGTCTGATAATGAAACAGTCATTTCCAGCTCTAGAGCAGCGACAGGAAAGGTCGCACAATTCGGCCACATAAGGAACTGTTTGGCACCACAGATATCTTAGCAAACCGTATGTGTTGGTTCTTGAGGTCTGGAGGTGTTTATGCATGTTTAAAGGAGTCATATGATGTTGTTAAAAAGAACATTGTTTTGTGTATTTGGTGTAATGAAGTGTTTATGCGGTTTAAGGTAAAAAAAAAAAAAAAAAACATTATTTTCCACATACTGTACATTATTGTTTCTCCTCTATGCCCCGCCTTTCTGAAACGCATCAATTTTCACAAAGCTCATCGTTCTGAAAAGCGTGGTGTGCTCTGATTGGCCTCAAGCATGTGACGAAAACCCTTGAGCTCAAGTGTGTGACGGAAATGTTACGCCCCTTACCATATTGTGATGGCGTGTCCCGGAGCGATGAGACAAAAACATTAAAACCCATTATAAACGAGGCATTTGTTGCATCCAGTAGGGACATAATTACGGATTATAATAATTTATACTGTCTTTTTACGCGTTGCGTGGCATTGCGCCACGTAAACATAAAACCATGTCTGCATTTGTGATCGGAGAAATGACAAGCAACAAGCACTACTCTACACTGCTCAAAACTCGCGTTTGAATCATCAGTGGCAAATTCTTTAAATATGAAAACGTACTTACAGTCTGAGTCAGAACAGCCGGCATTGTAGGGAGAGTAGCCAGGATTAGGAAACAGTCCTCCATAAAATGCGCTGCACACATCTGAATATTTGGGTTGAACTGTTCTGGAACAGTGTTGTAAATACAACTTAACCACTGATTTCTAGTTGTGTCCTCTTTTGGAAGGCCAAACAAAGTATTTTCGCTTTCGCAACGAAACACACAGCGTCTTCACAACATGGCGGCGACGGTGGCAGCAACAATAGAGTTACGCCTTCTTTCTTTGCTTGAACATTTGGGCGGTGTTATGCAAATCTTCCCACATCGTGACATAGACATGTGGGGGCATGTTTAAACGAGGCGTTTTAGGAAGGCGTGGACCAGTCTTAACTTTTATAAAAAAATATCTCTTTGGGTTTGAGACTTTAGTCGTTGCAACTTTAGGGATCTTATCTATTCACAAACAGCTTGTAACACTCCAAAGAGAAAGGAAAACTTGAAATTGCATCATATGACCCCTTTAAACTCAATGTTTTATAGGGTTAATGTTCATTTTTAATGTTGTAAATGAAGGAAGGAGTGCTCAAAGCAACCCCCACACTGCTTTTGGTCTTTTTTGTAAAAAAAAAAAAAAAAATGAGAAAATCATCTCGTGAATTGTATCGCATTGTGAGTAGGGATGTTCATTTCGGCTATTTTTCCTAACCGACGCTCGTTAACCGATTGTTAACCATTAGCCGACAACATTATTTTTAATTAGAATTGAATTAAATTTGAAAGGATAAGTGTATGTGACCCGTTAAAAAATACTAATATTTGTTTTCCGGGGATTCATTTTAAATTCGCAAAAAGCAGCAAACAACAGAACATGAGGTTTCACATGGTCATATCACATCACGCACATGCAGCGCTTCTGCCAGCAGAGAAAACCATAATAAAGCTAGGCTATATATATACAGTATCTCACAGAAGTGAGTACACCCCTCACATTTTTGTAAATATTTTATTATATGTTTTCATGTGACAACACTGAAGAAATGACACTGCTACAATGTAAAGTAGTGAGTGTACAGCTTGTATAACAGTGTAAATTTGCTGTCCCCTCAAAATAACTCAACACACAGCCATTAATGTCTAAACCGCTGGCCACAAAAGTGAGTACACCCCTAAGTGAAAATTGGGCCCCAAAGTGTCTATTTTGTGTGGCCACCATTATTTTCCAGCACTGCCTTAACCCTCTTGGGCATGGAGTCCTCTTCCACTTCTCCATGATGACATCACGGAGCTGGTGGATGTTCGAGACCTTGCGCTTCTCCACCTTCCGTTTGAGGATGCCCCACAGATGCTCAATAGGGTTTAGATCTGAGACATGCTTGGCCAATCCATCACCTTTACCCTCAGCTTCTTTAGCAAGGCAGTGGTCATCTTGGCGTGTTTGGGGTCGTTATCATGTTGGAATACTGCCCTGCGGCCCAGTCTCCGAAGGGAGGGGATCATGCTCTGCTTCAGTATGTCACAGTACATGTTGGCATTCATGGTTCCCTCAATGAACTGTAGCTCCCCAGTGCCGGCAGCACTCATGCAGCCCCAGACCATGATACTCCCACCATACATTGTAGCAAAGTGTCATTTCTTCAGTGTTGTCACATGAAAACATACAATTTTAAAAAAATGTGAGGGGTCTACTCACTTCTGTGAGATACTGTGTGTGTGTGTGTGTATATTAGGGATGCACCGATATGAAAATTTTGGCCGATACCGATAACCGATTATTCTTTATTTTTGAAAGCCGATAACCGATATGTTGGCCGATAAATCTATATCCAAATTGTTATATACTTTTTGAGAGCCTGATTACAAAAAAGGTCTCATCATTAAAAGCCACATCCCAAACACTTATTTTTACTTAATAAATTAAGAAAATGAAAGAAAAACTGTGCAACAAGTAGCCTAGGATGCAGAGTTTCGGTTCATTTTTGTGCTGCGCAAAAGGAAACCAGACGGCAGAAAGTGGCATCCTATTTTTTTTTAGGCTTATTTTACAAAAGCACAAAGATTTGTTTTTATTGTGGATGTACACAAATAAAGGCAAACCTTTTACAATTCCGATTATCTTTGACTAAAAGGAGTAGTTTCTTCCACTGTTAGAAGGAAAAAATTCAATTGATTGTGCCAGTGCCGCATGCGCACACACAGTTAAGCATTGCTAACCTTGACAATGCAGCCTGTTCATTATCATAATAAAATAGTGAGTAAAACATATGGGAAAAAAACGATGTAGTAAAAAAATATGTAGTAAAATCTGTGCCGTTAATTGTTATCACCGCACTGCCGTGATGTTATGCAAAACATTTTGTTTTACGTGGATATTGGAACGCGAGTGAAGCCTGGGCTACATAATAAATAATAATTTCCCATTCAAATACTTTGCGAATACGAAAACATTTGATTTTGTGTCGATTGAGAGACCCAATGTTGATTTCAGTTTCATTTTAGCCTAAATGAATTCGTTTTGGCTTGTCGTTTATATTGCTATAGCTTCTTATATTTTTAATTCTTGCTCTTATCTAAATACTGTTAATTGAACGGATTTGTTGTGGAGTGAGGGGAACTAAGCCTAGCTAGGTTTACAGTGTTTATTATAATGTTTGTAAACATTTCGCCTCGGCATTAGGCCTATTTCTGAATGAAACAATAAAATGCAACATATACGTGACTGTATATTTTTCCCCTCTAAAAAAAACATTTTTTTTTTTTTTATACGCGTAGCATATTTTAACCATGCAGCAAACCTTTTTAAATATTTTGATAAATTACTGAAAAAATTAATAATTAAATGACTTTTTAAACCATTTAACTGGTTGTATTAATCGGTCAAAATTCTTACGGTCAGTTAACCGGTTAAACGGTTAAAATGAACATCCCTAACTGTGAGTTGAGTGAATCGTTACATCCCTACCAAGGATTCTTTCCTTCGACTTTCATTTGTCAGTAATTTGAAAAGAGAGCATTTCGTTTGAACATTCCCCCCCCCCTGAATCAGGCTTTCAATAAAAAAGACCCCTGGCTATGTGATCCATCCTAGGATTCACACTCTGCCTTTTGTGGGGAATGTGGTAATCTGTAGTCATGTTAAAGATGACTGTGATTTCTGGCCGCTGCTCCGGGGGTCTTGTCGCCAGCGTCTGCTGAGCTGTGGTTTCTTTAATGTCCTTTTAAACCATTTGAATGGTCAGTTGGCTTCGTGTGAGAGGATAATAAATATTTCATGTCAGATAATAAAAACAGTGCTTTGCCCTTTTCTTCCCTCTCTCTGGCCCTTCTTGGAAGTGCCTCTGGGTGGTCTGGACACGACTCAGTGCTGCCAGTTGCTGGTCGTTCTGCGCTACTGCAGTGAATGCGGCTGCATGCAGTCCCATGGACGGACAGCGGGTGGCAGAGTTCAAAGTGCAGCTGCGGTAAAGAGGGGAGTGGCAGCTGATGTGTTTGGCTAGACAAAGCTAGCCTCATTTTTTTTCATTTTTAGTTGCCTGATTATGAACTATGCATGTTTCTTCAGCTCCCTCCCACACATGGCATGAAGCTGTTTACTTTATTAAAGAATTAAATGCCTTCAATCCCTTTTTAATTGACTTTGTTCCACCCAGGGCTTTTGGCACAGGACGATTAGAATTATAAACCCAGTTGTGTGGCACCAGCTTACGTTTGCCAAGAGCTCAATTCGCGATGCTGTTAACAAACAAATGATGTCTATTTATTTTAACGCATGTTTATTTTTCTCTTTCAGAGTAAACGGGACCATCTGTTAATGAATGTGAAATGGTACTACCGTCAATCTGAGGTACCTGACTCTGTCTACCAGCACCTGGTGCAGGACCGCAACAATGAGAACGGTACGTGTGTGTGTGTGTGTGTGTGTGTTGGTTGAAAAACACAGGACTCCCGCTTGAAGGGTCCTTCTTGCGCGACATTATTTATGTAACCACCCGTGGTTATTGGTTTGTGAAGTTTCATAGAGAACGGCATCTCAAATAAATGTGGATTTGGAAAAAGATACCACCCTCCTGCCCTTGTTTCCCTGGTAACGCTCCCTCAAGAGCGACAGCGGGGCCATGAAGTGCAAATAACTTTCAATGTAATGTGCCCTCCGAGCGCTCATTCTCCCGACTATCAGCAGCAAATCTGAGCTTGATACACACATCAGGCAGTAATAACTGGCTGGGGGGACTCTGCCCGGCCGGGGCTTTGGCACTTTGATTCACACCACACTCCAATAAAGCATTAAGAAGGCTTGCGTTTCTGCCAGCTTGTCGGAGCGCAGCAGCCACCACCTGCTGCACCACTGACTAGTCTGACATGGCAGCCATTGTTATTTGTGCTGATGCCATCTGAATACGAATGTTCATCCAATACTGTCTGTATGGATCGTTGTGACATTTGTCATTGAAATATATTGAAATCATATATTGAAATATTTGCCTGCTTCACCATAAAAATACAGTTTAAGTTTTTCATGCAGCTTTTTCAATTGCATTGATTGTTTGTTTGTTTTTTTTATTGAAATCCATTGCTTAATTCCTTTCCATTCTATTGTCCATTTCCAAGAGCTTCCATACTGTTACTTTCATTGTGTCTATAACAATCATATTTCATAAGCTGTGAGATTGTCTGGTTTCTTTTGTGTCTCGCCTGCGTTTATTATGTGTGCACATTTTTATTAGCGGCAGTCTGGAATGCCTCTCACGCTCGGTGTCTGTTTTATGTCTCTTTCTCCAGACTCTGGTCGCGAGCTTGTTATTACTGATCCTGTGGTTAAGAGCAGAGAGCTCTTCATCTCAGACTATGTGGACACCTATCATGCTGCTGCCCTCAGGTAACAAACATAATTAAATTTACCTGTGCTTAACAGTTGATTAAATTGTCCACAGCAGTAAAGTGCTTAAGACTTCACCTAATACAGAAAAACCTCACAATATTCAATGCACCTCAATATACCTCTCAATCCCAATATATTTAGCCTTTTGAGTGTATATATATATATATATATATATATATATATATATATATATAATAACACTAACACATTTTTTTTTTTTTATAATGTGTTTGGCTAGACAAAGCTAGCCTCATTTTTTTTCATTTTTAGTTGCCTGATTATGAACTATGCATGTTTCTTCAGCTCCCTCCCACACATGGCATGAAGCTGTTTACTTTATTAAAGAATTAAATGCCTTCAATCCCTTTTTAATTGACTTTGTTCCACCCAGGGCTTTTGGCACAGGACGATTAGAATTATAAACCCAGTTGTGTGGCACCAGCTTACGTTTGCCAAGAGCTCAATTCGCGATGCTGTTAACAAACAAATGATGTCTATTTATTTTAACGCATGTTTATTTTTCTCTTTCAGAGTAAACGGGACCATCTGTTAATGAATGTGAAATGGTACTACCGTCAATCTGAGGTACCTGACTCTGTCTACCAGCACCTGGTGCAGGACCGCAACAATGAGAACGGTACGTGTGTGTGTGTGTGTTGGTTGAAAAACACAGGACTCCCGCTTGAAGGGTCCTTCTTGCGCGACATTATTTATGTAACCACCCGTGGTTATTGGTTTGTGAAGTTTCATAGAGAACGGCATCTCAAATAAATGTGGATTTGGAAAAAGATACCACCCTCCTGCCCTTGTTTCCCTGGTAACGCTCCCTCAAGAGCGACAGCGGGGCCATGAAGTGCAAATAACTTTCAATGTAATGTGCCCTCCGAGCGCTCATTCTCCCGACTATCAGCAGCAAATCTGAGCTTGATACACACATCAGGCAGTAATAACTGGCTGGGGGGACTCTGCCCGGCCGGGGCTTTGGCACTTTGATTCACACCACACTCCAATAAAGCATTAAGAAGGCTTGCGTTTCTGCCAGCTTGTCGGAGCGCAGCAGCCACCACCTGCTGCACCACTGACTAGTCTGACATGGCAGCCATTGTTATTTGTGCTGATGCCATCTGAATACGAATGTTCATCCAATACTGTCTGTATGGATCGTTGTGACATTTGTCATTGAAATATATTGAAATCATATATTGAAATATTTGCCTGCTTCACCATAAAAATACAGTTTAAGTTTTTCATGCAGCTTTTTCAATTGCATTGATTGTTTGTTTGTTTTTTTTATTGAAATCCATTGCTTAATTCCTTTCCATTCTATTGTCCATTTCCAAGAGCTTCCATACTGTTACTTTCATTGTGTCTATAACAATCATATTTCATAAGCTGTGAGATTGTCTGGTTTCTTTTGTGTCTCGCCTGCGTTTATTATGTGTGCACATTTTTATTAGCGGCAGTCTGGAATGCCTCTCACGCTCGGTGTCTGTTTTATGTCTCTTTCTCCAGACTCTGGTCGCGAGCTTGTTATTACTGATCCTGTGGTTAAGAGCAGAGAGCTCTTCATCTCAGACTATGTGGACACCTATCATGCTGCTGCCCTCAGGTAACAAACATAATTAAATTTACCTGTGCTTAACAGTTGATTAAATTGTCCACAGCAGTAAAGTGCTTAAGACTTCACCTAATACAGAAAAACCTCACAATATTCAATGCACCTCAATATACCTCTCAATCCCAATATATTTAGCCTTTTGAGTGTATATATATATATATATATATATATATATATATATAATATGACTACAACATTTTTTTTACTTTTTAAACCGTTTAACTGATTGTATTAATCGGTCAGAATTCTTCACGGTCGGTTAACGGTTAACATGAACATCCCTATATTAGGGCTTTATTTTTTATTATTTTTTAGTAATTTATCAAAATATTTAAAAAGGTTTGCTGCATGGTTGAAATACGCTATGCGTATATAAAAAAAAATTTTTTAGAGGGGAAAAAAATATATAAGTCGCGTCTAAGTCACATTTTATTGTTTCATTCAGAAATAGGCCTAATGCCGACACGAAATGTTTACAAACATTATAATAAAAACTGTAAACATAGCTAGGCTATTTTAGTTCCCCTCACTCCACAACAAATCCGTTCAATTAATAGTATTTAGTTAAAGAACAAGAATTAAAAATATAAGAAGCTATAGCAATATAAACGACAAGCCAAAACAAATTAATTTAGGCTAAAACGAAACTGAAACCAACGTTGGGTCTCTCATTCGACACAAAATCAAATGTTTCCGTATTCGCGATGTATTTGAATGCCAGAATATTATTTATTATGTAGCCTTGGCTTCACTCGTGTTCCAATATCCACGTAAAACAAAATGGTTTGCATAACATCATTCACGGCGGTACGGTGATTAACGGCACAGATTTTACTACATATTTAAACTGAGCAGTGTGTTTTTCCCATATGTTTGACTGACTGTATTTTATTATGATAATGAGCAGGCTGCATTGTCAAGGTTAGCAATGCTTAACTGTGTGTGCGCATGCGGCGCCGGTGCAATCACTTGAATTTTTTCCTTTTAACAGTGGAAGAAACTACTCCTTTTAGTCAAAGATAATCGGAATTGTAAACGGTTTGCCTTTATTTGTGTACATCCACAATAAAAACAAATCTTTGTGCTTTTGTAAAATAAGCCTAAAGAAAAATAGGATGCTGCTTTCTGCCGTCTGGTTTCCTTTTGCGCAGCACAAAAATGAACCGAAACTCTGCATACTAGGCTACTTGTTGCACAGTTTTTCTTTAGTTTTCTTCATTTATTATTTAAGTAAAAAATATATTTCTCATATAGGCCTATTTATTCATTATATATATATATATATATATATATAGTTTGCTGCTTTTGGCGCATTTACTTTAAGAGCTGTAAACAGACATTTTGATCCTCTCAGTTGACTACAGGAGTGGTCGTCTCCGTACAGACTACCATTTCATAGCAATTCTGCATGCAAAGCATTACGGAAAGCAATTACGTTCTTTTGCGATGAGGCTCAGGAAAACGAGTACAAGCATGCTTATTGTCAAGAAACCAGACCTTCTCAGTCTGTCTTTACCCATGTGATGTATTTTCCCCCCTCTTTCTCTTTCTCTTCCTCCCTCCTTTCCTTCCCTCTCTCTTAACTGAAACCATCTGGAGGCAGCACACTAAGCCACAGCTCTGAACCACTGATTTCAGGGCAAATTAGCTGCAACTTCTGCTGCACAGAGAGCCCTTTGATTTGACTTATTACAGGGCTTTAGATAAACTCAATGAATTCCACTAGCATGTCGTAATGCCTGCTCCAAACCTCACGTTCCTTTCATCTTATGAGTAAGGTATTGAACCAGTGCATAAACAATGATGCCAATTATTTTGATAGCGCCTGACGTTGAAAATGTAAAGTGCAGAAAGGGGGGATTGTAAAAATGTCATGATTCATAGAGGTTTTTCGCTCTGCATTGTTTGAAAAGCCTGTGGTATCTGTCACATTTTGTTTGTCTTAACAGGATGAAGGGAAAGGGCGTTAATAATACAACTATACAGGAATACTCTGATCCTGTAACCCCCAAGGTTACCCACACTTAAAAAAAAAATCAGTATCAGTATCCCAAAATTATTTTTTTCTACAAAAGTAGGAAAAAAAACAGGCAAAATAAAAGCATAAGTGTTTGGAACATTTAATAAGATATTGATATAAATACGTAAGAGTGAGTAAATAATGGCAAATATTAATTTTGGGTGAACTATTCCTTTGAGTTGTATCAGTATCCCAAAATTATTTTTTTCTACAAAAGTAGGAAAAAAACAGGCAAAATAAAAGCATAAGTGTTTGGAACATTTAATAAGATATTGATATAAATACGTAAGAGTGAGTAAATAATGGCAAATATTAATTTTGGGTGAACTATTCCTTTGAGTAAATCTGGTAATGTATTTGCACCATGACACTGATTTGTTTGCTCTATTTCTTTGCAGGGGGAAATGTAACATTTCACACTTTTCTGACATATTTGCTGCCAGGGAGTTCAAAGCACGAATCGACTCTTTCTTCTACATCTTAGGATATAACCCAGAAACCAGGTAAGCCTTTACTGACTTCAATAATCAGCCCTCCTCAGGCATGTTCTGTCTTCAGATCCTCTGTCACAATATTTTACAAATAGAGATTTTAGGATTCATATCAGGTGTGCTGTTGCTGGGTTTGCTTTATTCACTCTAAATTGTCCAGTAATGCATGAAGGCAGTTTGAGAATAGATTAAATCATGAAGAATACAGTCTTCTGTTTTATAGCTTGTCTTTGACAATGGAAGTCTGCTTTTTGAGTTTTATTTTCCATCTCCAGCATTTCTGGGAATTGTATAACACCTTGATTTTGCATTATAAAATGCCCATAAAAATATTTGCGTGTTCAAAAGTTTGGGGTTATTGTTTTTAAAGTAGTCTTCTGATTGAAATTACTATTTCAAAAAATCCTTCCGAAATCTATGCTGATTTGGTGCTCAAGAAACACTTACCAATGTTGAAAACAGTTGTGCTGCTTAATATTTTTATGGAAACTTTTTTTCAAGATTTTTTAAGGAATAGAAAGTTCAAAAAAACACATTTATTTGATATTATTTTGTAACATTATAAATGTCTTTACCATCACTGAGAGTAAACGTATTAATTTCTTTTAAAAAAAATTACTGATCCCAAACATTTGAACAATAGTATATATACTTTAATATTTGACCATAATATTATATATTATATACTTGCATATTTGACCATAAAATGTAACGGTTCTTGGAATCTGATTTAAACTTGCTTGCTATAGGAAGAGTGTTAAGATAAATGTTTGAATTTTAGTTTGTCGCTTCAGATGAACTCTTCACTTCATCATCTGGGTGTAGTTTTTTTTTCAGTTCTTTAACAAAATACCCACTGAGTGAAAAAGTTTTTTTTTCTCCAAAATTGTTACATAGTGTACAAGTTAATAATCAAATTGTCAGGCTTGTCTGGGATTCTTGGTTACACCTGTAAAATGGACATGGTTCAATAACATTTATTATTTATTAATAGGTTTATTAAAGATTAATCTAAGTTAATATTTGTCTGTACTAATAGTAACCTAATAAGAAATTGTATGGAATGTGTATAGAATTTAAAATATAATATTCAGTATTATTAATGTTGTTCAATAACATAAATTTGAATTATTCAAACTAAAGTGTTGCTGTATCTCAAACAATAGAACATGGTGCTAACAACGCCAGTCATGTTTGATTCTCAGGAAATGCAACGTAAGTGGTATTGGATGAAAGCATCTGCCAAATGCATGAATGTAAAAATATATAATTTTTAATGTTCTATAATTCAGAAAATTAATGTAACATTTCATTCTTGACGCATTTTAAAGTGTTATTGTTAATAGATTATTTCCATGTTGAAGTATATTAGGTTTACAGTATCATACAGTATTCATCTAAATGTCTCTTTTGTAACTTCTATTCTTGTAACACAATGTAATCATTCTATAGAAAACAATAGGATTTTATTTTCCTCCACTGGCTAAATTATTCACATTTTGCCTTGACACATGTTGGAGAGATTGTTCTGTATGCGATCTTACTGTGGCAGCCTTCAGATCCTTCTCTTTGGCTCTTGTGTGCTTTGCTGCCTAATTCAGAGCCTCCAAAAATGCAGAGCCTGCAGAATGTTTAGGAATCCGGCCGAGTGATTTCTCTCCTCCACTATCGCGTCATCTCGCAGCAGATTCAGTTTCAGACAAGAGCGCCATAATGCTTGCCTGGCGATTTATTTCATGTGGATTTGTCTTTCATTATAGGAGTCACGAGCATTAGAATCAGACTCTTAAAACTTTAAACAGCTCAATGTTGAAAAGCTTTTAATGAAGGCCTGTCTGCTGCTGCTTCATCTATCTGCCATATTTGTTTCAGTGTGGAATTTCCTCCATTGACAGAGCTTGTGTTTTTAGTGGATCGCGCTGAAGGGAGAGAGAGGGGTTGTTTATGAAATGTACCCAGATGAAGGGGGATATGATTTGAGGCCCTAACCTCTCCTCACTTTGCAGCCAGGTTCGGGCAGCCAGCCCAGCGGTGGAGTGAGAGCTACTCTGTCTGGACGCAAATCATAGTGACAGTTTCTGGGCCCTTCTCTGTGCCTGGCTATATGAAAATCAGTGCTGTTGCCGTGGCAACGGAGCGGGGAAGGCTTTTCAAAAGGAACATCTTGTCATTTTCTTTAATCCACTGCAGCTGGAGATCGGAACACTATTATTAAATTGTAGTTGCCATGGTTACTGCCATGGGTTTGTAACAGCAGCCATTTCAGGGCTCCTCTCCCCCTGCTTATCATCTGGCCTTTTGGGGGCTTTTGTAGTGTACCTCCACAAAAACAATGAGAAGCGTCGACTGTGCTGTTCGTCGCCTTTTGTGCCTTTGTTCAATCTATAGATTTAAATCCACACCATTTCCTCTTAGGCTCTATTGTGCATTAATGTGAATCGTGCATTAATGTGATTATTGTATTGTGTTGTTAAAGCCGTATAATTCCCTAAAAGCACCGTCGGGGCGTTGAAAATGTTTTAGAGAGTGGTAAAAACCTGTAAATAAACCTGCTGAAAGGTTGTTATAGTCTGAAGGTTAACAATCTGGGCTTTTAATACTAATACAGTTTAAGTCCCAAGTAACTAGAGATGTCAGTGTCCATTATATGATACACTATACTTAACACCAAGAGGTTGAGTTTGGCATACTGCATGACACTTATATACTAATAAAATAGTTAAATGCCTTGTATAACATTTCATAACCAACTTGGTTTTTGTTCTTTCTCTCTCTTTTTTTCCTCAGGCGATTAAACAGTACACAAGGGGAGATTCGAGTCGGTCCCAGTCACCAGGTATGTCTCTTTACAAATGCTTAGCATGTTATCTGAAACCTTGTCTTCCCTGACATTGCTTGTTAAAAGCTTGTGGTGTGGATTGAACTGCGATATCCGAAGCTCATGTTAAGCAGTTGCTTGATTGACAAGCACAAGGACTGCTTAGATATTACCTCTGGTCCTCTGTCACCTGCATACTTAACTTGAACATGTCCTTGTCACGCATTCATGAAGATGGTTGATAGATTTTTCATGCAGTGCAGCGTTCATATGGAATAGTGTGTTTGGAAATTGGCTGCTCGGAGGGTGTGGGATTTATTAGACACATTCAGCAGTGTTTTATGGGAATTAGGAACGGTCACAGTGGTCTGAAATTGAAAAACCAAAAGGGAGATCGCTAAAGAAGATGGCACACAATGAAAAAGACCAAGCACCACTAGCAATTAATGTCAGATGTTTTAGTGTATATCCTCCCAGAGATCTGTTAGAGTTATCATGTGGAGTGAAACCAGCGGCAGGACCTCTGCCCAAGGTTACTTCAAATGACTTTAGATGAAGTTTGTGGTAATAAAGCTCTGCAGGGCCGGCCATTACAGGCTAGCGCACCATGGATATTGATCCAACGTGGAACGGATCTGTAAGACTTTAGAACTGAATGTTAGTTATATGTTAGGAAATGACTTAAAATGTATTTGAGCGCATGATTTTTGTATTTTACCCTGGCAACATTCCTACTGAAGGAGTTTAGTCTAGGGTTTCGGGACACAATGTACAAGAAACATGGGTGAAATCATACTAATGCTGTTCTAAGTCGTTCAGTGTGTCCAGTGCTTTTAACATTGTTGATGTTTCTTGAGCACCAAATCAGCATATTAGAATGATATCTGAAGGATCATGTGACACTGAAGACTGCAGTGATGGCTATAAAATCTTCAGTTTTGCCAGTGCAGGAATAAGTTTAAAAAAATAAGTTTAACATGTATTGAAATAGAAAACAGTTGTCTTAAATTGTAATATCTTACAAAAAAAAATCTTTTTTTTTTCATAAAATAAACCCAGCCTTTGTGAGCATAAGTGATTTCTTTCAAAAACATAAAATCTTACCAACCCCAAACAAAAAAGTATTGCGAGTTTATTAGTTGTGCTTGCTCATATTTGGGCATTAGGCATCCCATGACCTCCTGATAACTAACTAAAAAAACACCTTAGCAACCACATAGCAGCACCATGGTAACCGCCTACAATGTCTTACGTCAACGTCACCTAGAAAAAAATAGTTTATGATGGCTATAAAATCTTCAGTTTTGCCAGTGCAGGAATAAGTTTAAAAAAATAAGTTTAACATGTATTGAAATAGAAAACAGTTGTCTTAAATTGTAATATCTTACACAAAAAAAATCTTTTTTTTTCATAAAATAAACCCAGCCTTTGTGAGCATAAGTGATTTCTTTCAAAAACATAAAATCTTACCAACCCCAAACAAAAAAGTATTGCGAGTTTTTATTAGTTGTGCTTGCTCATATTTGGGCATTAGGCATCCCATGACCTCCTGATAACTAACTAAAAAAACACCTTAGCAACCACATAGCAGCACCATGGTAACCGCCTACAATGTCTTACGTCAACGTCACCTAGAAAAAAATAGTTTAAACATAATATTTCTGCACTCAAGGGGAAGCTGAATAATGTTTAGTTGCCTCATTAATTCAAGTGAGGTCTTTTAATCATCCGTGATTGTTCGCACCCCTCCATCGGCTCAATGCATGTGGAGATTAAATGAATTTGAAAATTGATATTTAGCACTCATCGCTAGTGCTATTTGTGTTGTGACCGCAGCTGTCTGTCCCCTCTGCTCTTTGCCAAATTAGGCCAGGCTGCCAGAGCTCCAGCCCTTTCCCTCTCCTGGAGGTCAGACCGTGACAGAGAATGAGGAGCTGGTCTGGATGCCTGGGGTCAACGACTGTGACCTGCTCATGTACCTGCGGGCAGCCAGGTAAGCCCCACGTCAACCCGCTTTTCAGTAATGTTGTACAATGTGTCATTGTCAGCTTTGATTTCATCAGTATTCCCTCTCTGTGGTTGGCAGGAGCATGGCAGCGTTTGCAGGGATGTGTGATGGGGGGTCAACAGAGGACGGCTGCCTCGCCGCCTCACGAGATGACACTACACTTAACGCATTAAACACTGTAAGCTGACAACATAACTGACCTTTACTCCAGATTTAAAATTACAGGTGCTGTTTTTGGCACCTGTAAAAAAATTATGGTTTTGCTTACCGTTTTTATTGTAATGTTTTATAATGATAATGTTTGTTATTATTTTCTGTTTTTTTTTATCTTTTTATTTTGTCAACGTTGTTGATCTATTTAGTCATTTGTTTTGTTTTGTTTTAATTATCTGGTCACTTTCTAAGAACCAAACATGAGATGTAAATAATCAGCAATGTCGATTGATCAGAATGTAGATTTATCAGACTCCTTAGTATTAAATGACTTATCCTCCTCACAATGTTGCTGCTGTACGGAGTGCTTTTTCAGGCACTGATCTGATCTGCCACTTTATAAGTGGTGATTCAGTCCGAGTGCACTTTTGTTATGCTATTACCAGTATTTATTGTCATTTTACTGTAGAGCTAATTAGTAAAAACACAAAGAGAAATTAGGCACATTACTCACGGTTGAGAAAACCATAAAATGTCATAATGTCAAAACCATAAAGAGGTCCAGGCAGTAGATGGGTTTAACAGAGAGACCACAGGTTTCAGGAAGAGCCATTTTCTATATAACTAATCATTCAGGCTCAGGAGGAAATCATTTTAACAGATCCCTGCGTCTAAAAGAGATTATTACATAGGGTTTGTGGCTCTATTTACTTCCCAGTTTTATTAATTGTGTGGTTTATGGCCGTGACACTTTTTCTTGACCTTCAAAGGAATTTAAGTGTGACATACAAATCTGTCTGTTTATGCCGTCTTTATACAGCAGACTCATATACTGCACATTGAAGTTCCCTCTACTTGCTCAGAACAGCAGCTAAACCCCAATTTGTCTTGGCCAATTAAGCGCCCAGCACCAAAGAGACACAGTGAAGTAAGATGTCCCTAGCAGGCTTCATGCCTAATTGTCAAAAGATGAAAAAAAAATCCCTCAGCGTTTTCACTCACATTTGTTCACCTTCTCAGCGGTGCACTACAGGCTGCTGCTCTCTGAACACAGCCTCGCCTCGGGAAAGACACAGGCACCAGGGGCCATCAAAACGCGCTAGTAAATTGCCGTTGAATAGCTCCTCAGTGATGTCTGCGATTGTAAGATGTCTGAACAAGAGGGGTGTAATTCATGGCTTCATTAATGCGCAGTGGCCCCTGACAGCTGAGCTTTTGCAAAGCCGAATTTATCAGCCCCCACTGGACAAGCTACCCGGTCAAGTACAGAACATACAGCGTGATATTCTAATGCCACCCATGGCGGACAGCCTGTGAGCCATTATCAAACCAATTCCTCACCTTGTCTTTGCTAGCCTTTAAAAAAAGCATTCGACAAATGAACCTGAAATGTAATAAACATGACATTTCCATTTTGACTGAGAAGTGGATAAGCTGAGAATTAATGTGAGCTGAGGTTCACAGTTTCCTGACCTTTTTCCACTCATCTGCAATTCCAGTGTGCAGTCTGGTACCTGCTTGCCTTTGACAAGCTGCTTTGTTGTAGCCATGTCAGAAATGATTGCTGATGCTAAATTGTGTTTTGAACTGACCAATGTCTCCAGTGGAGATGCAGGAAAAAGCGTTTCCTGACCTTTTTCCACTCATCTGCAATTCCAGTGTGCTTTCAGCGTAAACCGCCTCAGTCTGGTACCTGCTTGCCTTTGACAAGCTGCTTTGTTGTAGCCATGTCAGAAATGATTGCTGATGCTAAATTGTGTTTTGAACTGACCAATGTCTCCAGTGGAGATGCAGGAAAAAGGATTTAGCTCTGCACACCAACCAGATATTGTTCTGTGTTCAACCATTATTGTAAACAAACCTGATGTGGGAAACTTTAAGCCTTTAAATAGTGACTTACATCAGTTTGCGACAAAATGCTCCATTGTTAACGGCTAGTATAATAAGCAGCTTGTCTGGACGTTCTGAGTCATATTGCAGTGTTTTTCGGCGTCATCCTTGAGGCTTGTGTGGCTGCTTTCTTTGGCAGAATATTTTAGGTTATTTGAGTTCACACTCATTTGCCTGCTCAGTACTTAATGGCTTTCAGATTTCCAGTCCAGCTGTCCAAACTCAGTCCAGCTGTCCAAACTCACCCTATCTGACACGTTTATAGGAAGCCAATCACTGTTATAGTGTTCAGGCTGTCCTCACACTGGGAAAAATGAGTCGATAGCAATCCAATATGATGGTTTCCTCACATTGTAACAATCAGCTGTGGAGTAACTAGCTAAAAGTAGCCACACTACTAATTTTACTAGTAGCCACACTACTAACTTTTGCATTAGTGTGATAGTTAGCTGTTTTCAAAGTAGTGTCACACTTCTAGTATCAAGTATCCATTATTTTTGTGTCTTGAAAATGTATTGCTGTTTTTCATGGCCCAGTTTTAAAAGTGAAATAGTTAATTAAATGCTGACATTAACTTGTTAAATCAGGATGTTTTCTGTTTTTATTAATAATTAAATTATTTATTTATTTATTTATTTTGTTGTTATTATTTTCACTCAGTGTTTATTCAGTGTTTTTTTTTTTTACTCAAGTACAGTTAAATTTGGGTATTTTCCAGTTTTATTCAATTTTGGCATTTTTGACTCAAGTTAGGGAAAATTTGTGTATTTTCTATTTGTATTGTTTTTAATTTAGAGTTTTCATGTTAAGTTAGGATTAAATTATTGTGTTCATTTGTTGTTTTTAGTGTTTTCAACCGTTAAGTTTAGGTCTTCAGTTTTATTCAAATTGTATTCATTGTATTTATTTATTTGTTTGTTTGTTTGTTTTTTACTTGAGTTAGAGCTAAATTAGCTTTTTTTATTTTATTTATATTGGTTTTTAGAATTTTCAAATCAAGGTTATATTTGGGTGTGTTTTTTTCTTGGATTTATTACTTTTTTTGTATTTTCGCCTTTAAGTTAGGGTAAAAATAGTGTATTTACTAGTTGTGTTTAGTTTTGTTGGCTCATATTACGAGTTTTTTAGCATTTGGTAATAACACATTTAGTAAATATTAAGTTTTTATACTCTCATCCTAACTTTTTTCGCATGATTTCTTCAGATGATTATATTGTTGGATAGTTATACATTTAAACAGCAAGTGGTAGTTTAGCTGACTATATTTACACACACAAAAAAAGTAACTTTACAAGATACTCATATTTTAACAAACTACAGTAAAGGTAAATTTCCAAAGCAACTATCATTAATGTGAATTTGTGCTCTGTCTTTTTTCATACAGCTTCATGAGAGCAGCTATGATGCCGGGAAAGCCCTGCAGCGGCTGGTGAAGAAACCAGTCCCCAAGCTGATTGAGAAGTGCTGGTCAGAGGATGAAGTGGTGAGTGAACAAGTTAACTTCCTTCATTATGTAGCGTGAGAAGGCCAAATTTCGCTGCATTACTGGCTTTGTGTCGTCCACTGAAAAGCGCTGAGGATTCCAACTCCTCCAGCAGAACAGGGCAGCTGCATCCTGTTTATGGCCTGTGGAATAAATCTTCCCAGTGAGGGAGAAGCAAAGGAGGGGGAAAGAAAGTCTTGGTCAGCTTGTGTTATAGAGACTTGAATTTGATCCAAGTACCTGAAAGCTTTTTGTGCTTCAGACGTTAAAATATAAGGAAAACAAAGATCGAAAGAGATCTGCGGTGTTGAGAACAGCCTGAAAAGCAATTAAACAGTCTCTGAAAGGATTGACATGAATCAAACATAGAATCGTAGAGAAGCCCAGGACAAACCATTTATTTATATATAAAAGACCTTATAACATTTTCATGGTCCGCACCCAGTGCCGAAACCCCATTCCTTTCATAGTCATCAAGTGAGCTTGATTTCGAAACAAATATTCAAGAAGTGTCCTAAAGGTTTACTACCTCATTTCCCTCCCAAGAGGCTTTAATATGCTGCAGTTTTTTCCTCCAGTAAAATCAATACTCATGTTTGTGTGAGTATATATGTGCATATGTACACACTCACTAAAAGCTACAAAGCAGAATTTAAAAAATAGGAGTCATGTTGATGGTGCCAGCGAGCCCATTAAAAAAGATCAATTAGCCTGTGCGCATCGATTTGCATCGGCATGTTTAACTGAGTGTGGGCCTGTTTTTTTAATGTACACAGGAGAAGCGTGTGTGAAGCGAACTGTATAACAGTCTGTCTGAGATGAATAATAGAGATGCTGAATAAATACTGCATGAGTGCAGGCCTCGATTACACCACTGTTGGTGTTTTTCTCGTTGGTGTGCGCGCCCCCCGCAGGAGGCTGTTTGGGGCAGGCAAGCCACCCCCTCCTCCCCGTCTGTAACCCAGCCAGGCCACCGCTGCACTGTCAAGGACACCGCTCCCCCGATCTGATTTCAAGTTGTGCTTTTGCAGCCCTGCAGCCTTGAGGGACAGGTGTAAATGTACCCCTGACCTTGGACGCATGCACCAGCCCCGCTGCTCCTCATTTATTTATCACCCCTCGCTTTCTCTCTCTCTTTCAGCCTGCAGGTCCACGGCCTCATTATTCCTGCTCTTTTTCCATCGCTCCTTTTTGAAATGTGAATAAAAGTGACAGTGGCTGTCTCAGAAATGACAGAATCTCATCCCCTCTTCAGGGTCACTTGTCACCCGTCTCCCTCAGCCGCTCGACACAGCCCTCTGAGCCTCTCTTCCGTTCGACTAGCCTGCAGCGCTTTCAGCAGCAGAAAGAAAGAGCGTGTCATTTTATTTATTTTCCCGTGCCACAGTTTATCTGGAGAATTCTTTTAGATCCCGCAATAATACTCTAAAATGGCATGTCATATGTAACACCCTTTGATCTTGTAAGCTATTTTAGTAATGCTGTGTAAGAAAAAATATTCCGCTGTGAGGGTTTATATACCTTAGGGTTGGAACTAACTAATCGAATACACTGAGTAACAGCAGTGGTCGATCATGAAAATACTAATTGCATGAAAACACATTTTTTGATTTAACACAGATCTTAATTCAACAACTACTGTATATAACAAGGTTATTTTCGTAAACTAAAACTAAGACGAAAACGATTGATGAAAAAACAATTTCGTAAACTGAAATGTTTTTGAAAAACTCAAACGAAACGAAACTAACAACAGTTATTGAAAAACTAACTGAAATAAAATAATTATCAAAAATAAATAATCGTTTTCTTAATCATTCTCAAAATTCTCGAACGTTTTCGCCCCTTGGCGGAAAATTATATAAGCTGTGTGGCGGTTTAGGGAAATACCTGTAAATGGCGCATCACGCACATGGGGTTATCTGACAGAGACGCAAAGCAGTTTAAAGCAGAGTACTGCACGGGTCCTCTTTGGTAAATGTGCACCAGCAGTACTTAACCGAACACTCGACTCGTTATCCAACAGCAGCACTAATTTAATTCTGTACCAGACCAGAACCGCTTGACATATTAAAGACTGTGAGTCGCGATCCGAACCACACCCGCGATTCCCCGATTACATCAGGTAGGCAAAATTATTTATTTTCTCATGTAACACAAGCAATCAAACCAAAATTAGGCATTCTAAGTTGGTGCTTTGAAGAAAAACAGACACGCAGCGCAACGTGATAATTAACAGTTAAAGAAATGGCTCATTGATAATCAGAGCTGTCAACATTAGCTTACTACTACATCTGCTCTCGCTGCCCCCTGTTGGTTTTTTTGCTTTGTGTGTGTGTATGTTCATGTATTTGTCTGATGTTTGTCTGATTGTTGGTCTGTTGCATTTCTATTGTACATCATAGCTTAATAGTACTTTTTACTAAATGTATTGTAATTGTTTTATTGTTATGTTAATATGTAATTTTATTTTATTTTAGGGTGACTATTACCATCTGTCTAGGGACTGCAGGTGAAAAATAGCCTTCTGGCTAATTCTGGCATATTGACAGAAATGTTTATTAATATGCATTGTCCCTGTAATAAATAAATAAATAAATAAACAGGAAAAAAGAGATGAGAACGTGTATCCTTTCTGTAAATAATACAAAACTTTAGCCTAGCATCTTGTGATCACTCCGCCAGGCTTTCGGACAAATGTGCATAGGCTAAATCACATCATACACACACTTATAATTCTTCATAAATGAAAAGAACATATTAAAATATGAGCCTTTACTGTTAAATGCGATTGCCGTTATTATTGAATTTCATTATCTCAGTTAGGCATGGGCCGATTACTGGTATCAAGGTATACCGTGGTTTGAAAATGTTCCGTTATACCGTTCCTGCGGTATGCGCTGTTTTTCATGTCTCCTCAAAGATTGAAAGTGTAGGAATCCATCAGGTTGAGTGCAGTGTTGAGAGTAACTCCTCCTCCTGTTGGTGCGATCAGTCAGTCACGTGTGTGTATGACGGCGGAAGGAGCTTCCTCTGGAACTTATGAGATCGGCAACAGGCCGTTTATTGTTTTATTGCAGCCGATCTCTGTTCTGGCTGGACTTGCACAAACTGTTTATGTTAATGAATGTTAAATATGAAGTCCGTAAACGCCCGTTAACACAAGCCAGAGACGCTGAAGACGAACGCACAGAAAAATACTGTAGCAGGCAGATCACTCACTGTTCATGATGCACAAACTATTGGAAGAAAATCCTCAATATTGATTTGGGGGTTTATTTAAATGTGTTTCTGAGGGGAACTGACGGTCTTCAGAAAAGTTTAGATGGTATTTTCTTTTAATCTCGTCTCTGTATAATTCACATTAAAAGCTCTGCTTTGTTTACTGCAATAACCAAGGAAACTCTGTATGAGCGCCTCCTGCTGTCAGAGAGTGAATCTGTGTCCCATTCAGAGCTTCTGCTGTTTGTTTCGTTCAGGCATGTAGTATAATTTCACAAAGCTAGTCAGAACATTCTGTTTTTGCTTCAAATTGGGTTACTATTAAATCAAATTATGTATATGAAATTATATAACTAAAATTAAATAACTGTAATTACAGATTTAGGTTAAATAAAGATGTCAGTCATTATTGTTCTTCTTTTTAGGGCAGCAGTAGCTCTAGCATCAAATCAACCATCCACATTAAAAGCTGCAGGACAGCCCACATTTCAGAAACAAATCAAAGAAAAAATAAACGAATATTACTGTTCCAAATATTCTGTATGTTGCTCAAAATATATT